ACCCTTTAAAATGAAAATCAGAATATATGTTTGCGTTAAAAATTCTGAAAGTTATTCTGTGTGAATTTTAGGATTGAGGAAATGAATATGTGGATATATTTGGGATCTAGGGTTCTCACTGTAAGAGAAAATACAGATGTGGACTGGGGGAAGGGCAGTGGTGTTAAATTGGAATTTTCAGTATAAAGTCCGTCTCTCTCTCACACACACACATGTACAGATTGATTTCCTAGCTGTGTCTGCCGAAGGAGGCTAGGAGCAATGGCATCCCTGAGCAGTGGGCACATCTGGCTTCCATATCCTGGGTTTACAAATTCCGTTACCCACTAAAAGGAACTGGGGCTCCCTGAAGAGAGAATTCTTAAACTTCTTCCCCACAGGGAGCATGGCAGAAGGACACAGGAGCTAGTTTGAAACATTTTGAGTGTCAAGATAAGTAACAGCAACCAGATCATAAACTGTTGAAAAACAAAAGACCATATGAGTCCATATTGATACTAAAAAGCATAAATTGGGGGAAGGGGAAGTTCCTTGTTATTGTAAAATGCTAACTGTTACAAATGCAGCAGGAAGGATAAAGTTGGAAAACTCCATCTGCGACCCCAGTTGAAGTGTCTGATTCACCTCTGGGTGAAAGTTTGTTGGGGACCAAATACTTACACAGTCAGAGGACACAGACAACTTGCTTCTCAGGAAAAAAAGGCACTTTTACGGCAAAGCCCTGACAGCAGCTTAACCAAGTAACCGTCATATGTGACATCACTTGTTCTGGAGGAAACCGATGTCAGGTGCCTTCCCAGGGTGTCCTGCAAGGGACCCCCAACCCTTCTGTAGGAGACCTGCCTGTAATGCACAGTCTGGGTTGGAGCATGAAAAGACAAGCAGATGAACACAAATTAGGGATCATCACACAAAACAGAGGGCCTGTGGTCTTTGCCCCCGTGAGGGTCACAAATAACAGAGGAAAGCTGTGGAACCCTTCCACGACAGGGTGACTGAAGAGACGTGACATCTGGATGCATGCTGTATGGTGCAGGATTGGATCCTGATTGGAGGAGGGGAAAGTTGCTGCATAAGATAGTTTAGAAAATCCAAACATAGATAGCAGTATTGTATTTTTTTTTAAATGGATAATTGCACTGGGTTCTATAGGAATGTCTTGTTCTTAGAATCACACACTCCTGAGAGGAAAGGCTCATGACCTCTGCAACTTACTCTCAGGTGATTTGGGAAGAAAAATAAACGTATGTATTATATATACATGTATAGATGGAGAGAGCAGAATGTTAACAATGGTTGAATCCAAATGCCAGAGTATTTGGGATTTCACTGCAATACTCTTTTTTGTTATGCCGATACTGTATTTCCTGCACGTTTACAGATTTTATGTAATTTTTCCACTCGTATTGTACAGCTCTCTTCAGAGCTGTAACCGACATATAATATTGTGTAAATTTAAGGTACACAACATAATGATTTGACATATGTATGTATTGCAAAGTGATGACCACAGTCGTTTTAGTTAGCATTCATCACCCCACATAGTCTTTTTTCTTACGATGTGAACTTTTAAGATTTTATTAGCAGCTTTTGAATATATGGTACAGTGTTGTAGTTTTAACCGTAGTCACTATGGCATGTATTACGTCCTCGAACTTACTTATCTTCAAACTAGAAGTTTGTGCCCTTTGACCACCTTCACCCACTTCCTGTACCTGCCCCCATGTTCCACCTCTGGCAACTACCAAACTCTTCTGTTTCCATGAGTTTGGTTTTGCTAGAGAAAACATAGAAGTAAGATCATACAGTACTTGTCTTTCTCTGACTTCTTTCACTTACCATAATGCCCTCAAGATCCATCCATGGTGCAAATGGCAGGATTTCCTTCCTTTTTTTTTTTTTTTTAAATACTTTATTTGTTTTTGAGAGAGAGAGAGAGAGAGAGACAGAGCAGAGTGGTGGAGGGGCAGAGAGAGGGGAAGACATAGAATCTGAAGCAGGCTCCAGGCTCTGAGCTGTCAGTACAGAGCCCGACACGGGGTTCAAACCCAGGAACCGTGAGATCATGACCTGACCCGAAGTCGGAGGCTTAACCAACTGAGCCACCCAGGCACCCTGAGGATTTCCTTCCTTTATAAGACTGAACATTATAACTTCTCCGTAGGTCTGAAAAAAAAAAAAAATTAAAAAAAAAATCTTAAAAAAAAAAGGTAAATGCAACAAAATGTCAATATTGTTTTAAACTCCTGGGTGTCTGTTATATTATTTTCTGTAATTTTATGTATGTTTACGTTAATTAATCTCTGATGATAAAAAATTTTTAAATAAAGTATTTAGTACATTGAGTACTACTTGCCTCTTTACTAGAACACTGAGTTCTTTTTATGCCTTTTTTGCCCTGGTACCCAGGTTATGGGAATTTTTTTACTCACTGGACAATCGTCAGGTTTATACAAGCTCTTCTTCCCTGTGGTGTAGACTTTCGGGGTTCCCCACCACAGGAAGGAAACCCTTCTCGTTACTCCCACCCTTCTGTGCCAGCTTGGCTCCTGCTGTTCCCTGACTCTTGACTTCCTGTATTTCTCATTTCTGGCCTGGGAATACCCTTCGGGGCTCGATGTGTTTCTTTTCCTGGATTTGTCTTGACCCTTCCCAGAAAGCTCTGCCCCTCTGGTCACTCAGAAGAACCACTTGGCCCAGGTCGCTCCCATTCCAACAGAGCCCTGGCTCCTGGGACCCCTCTAGCATGGCCTCGTTGGAGTGACTGGCCCAGAGAGGAGTGTTTTAAGAGACTGAGAGATTAAAGTTCTGGTGTTACCAGTTACTAGCTTGGATAGAGATTATTTTGAGCTTTTGGTTTTATCTAAGGCAAAATGAAGATAAGATACCGTTTTCTCCCTCCCTCTCTCTTTCTCTCCGATTTGGTCGTGAGGTTTAAATGAGGCAAGGGTTTAAGGACCGCCTGTATCCTGTGAATGTGGGTTGTCTGTTGTCTTTTCTTCTGACCTTCCATTCCAGATGAAAAACATTTTGAGCTCAGCACATCCTCAATTTCCATCTCTCTAGACTCAGTTACATTTTCTTTCTTCCTCTTTTGCAAAAGCTTTGGTATGAAAAGTTTACTTATTTATGCTCTGGCAGTTTCCACCGGTGCCTTGGGGGAGGTTTCTGAGGTCCCAAGACAGGACCTGAAACACATTATCCTATAGAAAGAATGTTACTACATGCTGGCTATGTGCACTGCCAGGACCATACCTAAGAAATACAAGGAGGGAGCAGACAGGTTTTCATGAAATCCTGAAAGTACTGTCCTTTTGCATGAGAAAGTATCTGGAGAGACGATACCAAGCAAGCAACGCATCAGAAACCATCCACTTATAACCGAGATCAGTAAGCCTTGGTGGGTGGGGACTTCCTAGGCAGCGTTTAGCAAAGTCATGCTGATGCAAGAGCTGTGTGACGTTATCCCTACGGCCCAGCGCTGTTCTGACCACTCTGTTTTTATAAAATGCAAGAACTGAAGTTCAGTGGGCTCTGAGAATTGAAAGCTCCTTGAAATGCGTGACCCACCCCCAACTCATACTGAAGCCATTCCTAGCTGGCAAGAACATACCCTATCGTTGGACACTCTCTGACGATATGTGACTTTTCACTGTGATGTCCTCCAAGGGCTCTTGCTGAAAAGTCCTTCCTTGATGTCTGTGGGTACAAAAATACCCAATGAAGTGGGGGGTGCTCTGACCTCATTGTACCTCCTCCACCACAAGACTCTGCTCCCCGGACAACATCGCCGTCACTGCCTTCTCCTGCCACAAGCGTAAAGCCCACCCCCTCCCCAGAGGGAGGTGACGCTTTGAGGCTTTTTATGTTTCAGGGACTAGGGAAGTCCACCCCAGTATCTTCCTGCCACCCCTTTCCCCTCTTTCCAGGGTGGGCATGCCCCCACTCTTTAAAGCAACAACAGAACCTGCTAGTTACCTCATACAGAAGAATGCAATACTTCCTGAGTAACTCCTGGGAACCAGGCAGCCTACTGAGAATATAGACATTAATGTCATCGTCTGTTTGGAGAGCCTTGGCTTTGGAAGGTGAAGTGACCTGAGGTCACCCAGCTGTGAGTGGCAGAGTTGGGTTTGAATAGAACAGCATCAGAGCCCAAGCACCTAGCACCTCTCACACTGTGCAAGGTGTGGAGGACAGTGTGCCTGCTCTCGGCTTGAGATACACGCTCCCACATGTGCCAGATGGGGGCCCGGGAGTAGGACCCAGGTTTCCTGCCACCCCGCCCCACACCCATCCCTCCGTTAGCGGGTTTGCTCTCTCTTCCTTGGGCTGTACTTTTACCTGTGCCTTCTTTCTTCTTGGAGGAGACGGAAAACTGCTGATTTGCCATCCGGTGACCTGTCACCAAAAGTTCCTTCAGCTTTCCCTTCATCAGGGTAAAAGTCCTGGCTTCTCTGTTCTAAAGGACTCCTTTTCTAGTCCAGTTTTCTTTCTTTTTTAAAAAAAAATTTTTTTTAATGTTTATTTTTGAGAGAGAGACAGAGCATGAGCAGGGAGGGGCAGAGAGAGAGAGGGAGACACAGAATCTGAAGCAGGCTTCAGGCTCTGAGCGCTCAGCACAAAGCCCAATGCGGGGCTCGAACTTATGAACCACGAGATCATGACCTGAGCCAAAGTCAGATGCTCAGCCAACTGAGGCACCCAGGCACCCTTTTGCCCAGTTTTCTGATAGACCCTCCCCCCTCCCCTGTAGCCCCCCCCTTCACTCAAACCTCACCCAAATTCAGCCAGCCTTGCTATTCTTTTAGCCCTGGTTCTTTTCCTGCCCACTTTTTCTTTTTATGGTGGTTTCACTTTCAAGAGCTTTCTCCAGCTGAGCCCAAGCTGCCGTCATGACCAGCGTCGGCCAAAAATCTCTCAAATACTCAGCTTTAATATGAATCTGGTTTTGGTTCTGACCTTGTGGCGCATTGCTCTGTGACTGCTACCACTGAGAGACCGGAGGCTGGGGGGTGGGGGGTGGGGTGGTCCAGATACTGCTCACACATTTATTTAGCGCTGTCTCTTTTTGCTTCTCAGGTACCCAGATAAGCTGTTTCTCCCCAAGTTCCTTCTCCTGGCGTCAGGCTGCCTTCGTGGATTCTTACTGTTGGGCTGCCGTTCAGCAGAAGGACTCCTTGCAGGGCGATTCCGGACACCTTCCTCTGTGGCTGCATAAGGTAACTGGGGATGTTTTCTCACCCGATAGCCTTGTAGACGGGGGAACCGAGGCTCGGAGAGGCTGTGCCACGCAGTCACACAGATGCGCATGGCCAGCCAGCAGCCCTGTCCCTCGGATCATACAAGCCTAGCGCTTTAAATTTGGTCAGAAGAACTCAGAAACCTCAGAGATTACTTGGTTCGGCACCTTCACTAGCAGATGCAGAAACTGAGGCACTTTTCGGATTTTCACGCCATAACGGCGGGCGCCTGTTGTGTCATGTTTCTACCCTTACTGCCCAGTGGCGTCTGATGCAGAGTAGGCTCTCGGTGCCTTTTGAATTGCCTGGGTGAGCGATGTTAGATAGGGGCAGAGCCAGGACTCAAACCTAGCCTTGGCCAGCGCCTTTTCCACTGCTACCAGGGTCCCTTGGGGAAAGTGGCGGCCAACATACCATTTGGTTTCTTCTCGCCAGTGCGTTGCTGGAGCATCGGGAAGCCTAGTGATGACTCCTTCTGGGGGTGTTGGCTGCGACAGAGCTGCAGGGATCGATTCCTTGGCGTTTTGACGGGTCCACATTCCGCAAGGAAGGGGAGACATACTACATAGGAGACTCCAGTGTCCTACAGAGAAGAGGCCCCATCAGGAGCTCCCTGGTCAGGGAGTGATGGAGTTGGGGGGTAACATGGGGTATGGGCGGTGAGGAACCGGCGCCGGAGTCAGCGGGTTTGTGCAGAACGTTCTTTGTGTCATGACACGGCTCGAGTAGTCTTCTCCATGCGTGTGAAAGTAGGACTGTGTATCAACCCGTCATCATTTTCAACCACTGGTTCTGCCATCCATCATGAAAACAAAAAGAATGTTTGTGTTTCTTCTGGTGTTCTCCTCCACTGAGGAAAGAGTGCTGCTTTAGTTTCTGAAAAGCCAAAGGCTGAAAAGTTTGACTCTGGCCTTGACCTATTGCTGAACACACCGCATCCTTTGTAAAAAAAAAGAACAATTTAAGTCCTTTGCTATGACTCAGGCCTCATCCCCTCGTGTTAATTTATTGTGTGCCACCAGGCAGAGTGATGCCTACAGTGGCTGCTTTCTTCTTTGGGGTTGGGCTTTTCTCTTTGACTTTTAGCCTTAGCGCTAGCTGGGTCCTCGTCAACACTGTAGGTCTTAGTAGCCAGGCCAGCAAATAATAAAGATATTCTATAGGAATGGGCACAGTTCCAGAAGCTGAACAGCCTTGTCTGCACGTCAGAATCCATGCTGTTTTAATGTGGGTCTCTGTGTTGTGATGCTCTTAGGGGAAGGAAGGGTGTGCCAGGCTGGGCACTGACAGAGCCGCAGAAGAAGAATGTATCATCTGGCGTGTCCAGCGTATGTTAGGGATGTTAGAGACTGTGAAACTTTGAAAGTAGGAAGAAACAAGGGTTTTGATGCAGTATAAGGTGAAACATCCCCAGTTACCTTATGCAGCCACAGAGGAAGCCTAGAGAGACAAGCCGAGGACCCAGGACTAGTTGCTGACCACAGTCAGGTCCCTGGCCATCCACTGCCCCTGCCGTGTAGGAGGAGAAGCCCTGTAGAGTGGTGTGGGCAGCCAAGCCCCCGGTGTCCAGTGTTAGTGAGACACTAAGGAGCTTTCTGGTGGTAGTAGGCTAGCTTGTTTGGATGGAAGTTTGGCTGAGAGACTTTTCCAGATCCACAGGGCTTGGGGCAAAAATTAAGAGTTGACACAACCAAGTTGAAAGGAGCTTGGTCAACACACCCCAGGCTCGAGAGCCCGTTGCTAGGGAGTAAGGGGTGATCCTAAATTAGACCAGCCCTCATGGGGACCAGCGTCCTGGTTTGAATCACTTTCAGTACTGACTGAATGAGGAGATACGGGGACTGTCAGCATCTCGAGTCTGCCCACCAGCCAGCAGCAAAAATAAATCTTTTCCAGAAGTAGGTAACTTCATCCAGAGCCTCAAACTCTTGTCTGGTTTTTCACGTGTAGTTTCAGCAGCTGATACACAGGAAAACCAAGAGAAAAATCAGAACTAGAAACAGACCCACAGGATATCCAGTTGATAAATTGATCAGATACCCTATTTATTTATTTGTAATTTTTTTATTATGAAATTTATTGTCAAATTGGTTTCCAGACAACACCCAGTGCTCATCCCAACAGGTGCCCTCCTCAGTGTCCATCACCCACCCTCCCCCCTACGCGCCCC